AGTAATAAATGATATAAAAAATAGAAATAATTATAAAATAAATAAAATTATAATAAAATATAATTTTTCATAACTAGGAAAAGATTAAAAAATTAAGAAATTTTATGTTATTACAGTAATAGTATTATAATATTATACTATATACAGTTCTGGTGGAAAAAACTGACAGTAATAATTATATGCTTAAAAAATTAATTGCGTAACATTTTATTAGGTAACATGATTTAATTTTTTGTGTATACTTTCTTTGTCATACAGGCTAACCTAATAAAAAACCTAAACACAACAACGATTATCCTGATTAAAATAATGTCATAATGCCACGTGAACTTCCTCTTGCAAAATACCATTCGTTAGTAAAAGAGTTGTGGAAGAATGGAATATGAGAAGTTAAAACGTTACATAAAATTACTGGATTTTCTATTAGAATACTATTTAGGTGGGCTGCCCAGCTGTCTAAAACAGGAGATTTGAAACAAAAAAGTTGGTCAGGTCATCCAAAATGTCTAAATCCAGAAAAATGACAATTTCTTGGTCGAATCACGAAATTGCATCCCTATGCAATAAGTCTTGAAATTACCAAAATCATTAACAAAATCTATCCACGTCTTAATATAGCTGCTCAGACAGTTCGAGAAAATCTCTGGAAGCTTGGTTACCAAATTTGTATTCCTCACACTATCTCATTCTTCACCAAAATCACCAAGGCACACCAATTTGCTTGGGCAATGGATCATGAACATGAAAAGTGAGAAAATACAATTTTTTCCGATAAGACTTCTTTCTAAATGTTTCGCAACACTACTCTTGTTCGTTACAAGGTTGATAAAAGGAAACCAATCCATAAGATCATTAAATACTCTTTCAAAGTCCATGTGTAGGGGGCTTTTTGCACGCGAAGAATTATCAGATTTCACATATTTACTGAAAATATGGATAGCAAGTTGTATTGTAAAATCCTACATAAAAATCTTTTTAAACAAGCTAACCGAATCCTTGGGAGATCATGGGTATTTCAACAGGACAATGATCCTAAACACACAGCCAAGCAAATGATCTCTCTTCTCGAAAATCAATGTCCACGTGTTCTTAATTGGCCATCATATTTACCGGATCTAAATCCTATAGAGAATCTGTGGTCAATTATAAAGCGAAGGGTGGAGAGGAAGGTAAATAAAATGATTAGTGAAAAAAAAATCAGTTACGCAAGAGGATTTTAAGAAATTTATTAAGAGCGAATGGAAAAAGATCAATCATAACACATGCTTTAATTTAGCGATCAGTATAGAAACTCAATTAAAATTAGTAATTGAAAATGACGGTGGAAAAATTAAATATTAGTAATTTATATTATGAAATATGTAATAATGAGTTACTTATATTTTAAATTTGAAGCAATAAAAATAAAAATTGATGAAGTAAATGAAATTTAATTTACTGTCAGTTTTTTCCACCAGAACTGTATTTATTATATATATAAGATAAATATATAAGTTTTTAAATTGCAAAAATATGATCTAATTCTTAATAAATCTTGATTATTTTATATTAAATTAACTATAACTAGAAAAATAATAATATTATCTTTATTTATAAAATAAAAATTATTTAAATTTAAACTAATAATAAAGCTAAATTAAGATCAAGTTATAATTTAATTTATGTTTCAAAATAATAAATTATTAATCTACTAATAGATATAAAACTCTTTATTATATATCTAAATATATTAAAAATAAAAAAAAAATAAAAAAAAATTATTAATATTTGAAATATTATTAAAAAAATATAAAGATATATTTTTAAAAATCTTATTAAATAAATTATTATTTAAGAAAATTATTAATCACAAAATTAATCTCATATCTAATTTTATATTATTATTCAAATTAATCTATAGTTCTCTTTTATAAAGATAAATAAGTTTAAAAAATAATTAGTTAATCTTTTATTAAAAGATTTTATTTATTCTAATATCTTACTATTTAAAATATTAATATTATTTATATATAAAAAAATTATATTAATTATAATATTTTAAATAAAATAACTATTAAGAATTATTATCTATTATTTAGAATTAATAAGCTTATAAATAAATTTACAGATTCAAAATACTTTTCAAAACTGGATTTATATTTAAAATATTATTAAATATATATAGCTAAAAAAGATATATAAAATTATTTTCAGAACTTACTATAATTATTATAAATTCTTGATCTTATTATTTAATCTTATCAATATACTTATTATTTTAATAAATAATATATTTTATAATTACTTAGATAAATTTGTAATTATATATTTAAATAATATCTTGTAACAAAATTAGATTAGTTATTAATAATTATATTATATTTATTTTTTATTTTGCAAATCATTACTGCACTATATACTGCACTACATATAACTTATTGCATCACAATTATCCAATCATGCCAAGAAAAGTCACCTGATTTATTTGAGTTATTTTAGCTATAAATAGTTTCTTAGTAGAATTTCTCTTTTCTCTTGTTCTACTAATTTAGCTAACGTATTACTAAATTTATATATTTCATTTATAATCATTTATTTCTTTATTTATTTATTAATAAGCATCTTCTGGAGATATTACCATATAAGTATTTTCTATTATTAATTTATTTATCTTATTAATATTAAATCATTATTTAAAGATACTGTATCTGTTCTATAATTTTAACAATAAACAAATACAAGAATAAAGAATAAGTTTTAAATATAATTTCTTATTTATTTTTGATTTAGTTTTTTGTGTAAATTCTATTTCAAATAATATTACTTATATCTTGAATTTTCTATGTGAATTTTCCTGATATAATAATTATATTTTGACTTTTTTATGTGAATTATCTGGATATATTATATTACGTAACAAGAAGATTACATATCTTAATATATAATAAGATAAAAAAAGAATATATTTAATATTTTTGGATAGTAAATATATATTAAATAGAAAAAATATAATATCATATAATAATATATAAAATATTTCATTATAATGAAAGAAATATTAGTTAATTAAAGAAAAATAATTGTAACTAAAAATTGATTTATATTAATAAATATATTAAAACTTTGCTTATTCTTAGAACTTATAAGTTATTATAGAAAATTTATTAAAGAATTTTTAATTATAGTTTTATTATTTATAATATTTTTATATAAAAATAAATAATAAATAATTTATTTGAGTATAATAAGTATTTGAAAGTCTTAAATAATATCTTGTTTTAGTATTAATTTTGTATTATTTAACTCTAAGTTATTATTTATAATTATTATAAATACTTTTAATTTTACTATTAGAATTATACTAAGTTAAAATCAAGATTAAAATGATTAATCTATAATATTTAATTCAAGAAAATTATTACTATCTAATATTTCTATACTAATAAAGATTTCATGAAGATAAATATTATAAAAAACATAGAATTTAATACTAATATATAATTTTATTAATAATATATTAAAAATATAATTAAGAAAAAGTTTAAGAATTATAAATAAATCTAATATAATTATTATTTATTAGTCAGATGAATATAAAAATAAAAAGATAGATATTTTAAACTTAATTAAATAGAAAATATGAACAAATAATTTATATAAAATAATTAAGTTGCAAATAATTAAACTAATAAAGATAATAATTTTGAAAAATTTTTTAGTATAATTTAATTAATATATTTATTTTACTAAATAAAATTAATATATATATTAATCAAGTTATTTATTTTAATTAAATATATTTAGATCAAATAATATCATCTTGATTTGATAATTTCAAGTATAATTAAAAGTAACTTATTATAATATTAATTAATTATAATAATAATAAATATTATTTTATTAATTTTAATATTAAATATATAATTATCTATTATTTTTTTGTAATTATTTTCTTATTTATAAATATTTAATTTATTATATATTATATTTTATTAGTTATAATAATAGATTTTAAATAAAATATTAGATTCTAAATTAGAAAGATTACTTATAATAGAAGATTTATCAAAAAAATATATATTATAATTAATATATAATATTTTAGCTTGAATATTATTAATATATCAAATTAATAATTATATGCAATTTTATTATAAAAAATATGATATCTTCAATAAAACTTGCAAAAAAAAGAATTTAAACTTTATATAAATAATAATATATAATATAAATTTTATAAGAAATAAGAATTGCTTAAAATTAGAAAAATAAAAATTAATAAATTTTGATTAAAAATTAAAAGAAATTTCTTATAATCAGTAATACTTAAAACTGATAAAATATAATAGTCAAAAAAGACAAGATTTCTTGATTTACAAAATATTTGATTATTATATAATAACTTTTAGTAGAAAATTATTCTTTTCTTATCTGAAATACTAATAAGTTATAAAATACTTCTGAAAATATTAATATATTTAATTTCTTTAATATTACAAGCTGATACTTTTAATAACAGACTTTATAAGATAATGAAGTATTTGATTTAGAAATATATTAGATTTGTAAGTTCAAGATAATTGCTATAAGATATATGACAGAATATCTGGAAAAGAAATTTTCTATCAATAATATATGGCAATTACACAAATTATTAATCATATAAACAAGCTATTTAACATATTGAATAATATTAAGATGATATAATATAGGAGATGACATTGATATAATTTAATTTTATGAACTTTTGTATTAAATTAAGAAAACTATTTTTTTTATTTAGAAATATTACTTATATAATAATTATTTTTATTTGTCAATTGTTAAGATAAAATTATAATAATAATTAAGGCTTTATCAACAAAACAACTGAATTATTATTTAATTAATCATAATAAAGATAGCATATTTATAAATTACATCTCATTAATTAATCATAAAGATAATAATTTTATAGTATATATTATACCTTAATAATATAATTAACTTGCATTCAAATCCGAATCACAATATGATAAAAGAAAAAAAGGAATCGAATGACGGTTTTAAACTCGATTTCCGCCACCGTATGTTTATTGGAGACTTGCATGAACGATAACATTATTGGTGGTATAAATGTATTACATGCGTTTAATTTAGGAATAAATTAAAAATTTAACTTTTTTGTGTGGCCACTGTGTACATGAATGTCACAATTTTTCCTGAAATATTTTTATTGCTCAGAGTCAGAATGATTTCTCAACTTGGATGGATATTGTGGGTGGAACTTACCACATTTTGAGGATTCTAATTTTTTATCTTAATTTTCCGTTTATTCATTTTCAAGCACGCTGATATCATACATATGAATTGATTACCGTTACGTTTATTTACTTTTCGAATAATAGTTTGGTTTTTTGTTATCATAACATTCTTTAATAATTATACCAATTTAGGAATTTTCGAGATACAAATAATGACATTATATATATATATATTATATAGAAATTAAAATAAGGAAAATTATTATGTTCATGATGATTATATAAAAACAATTATTGCCATTTTGCATCACCAACATTATCACTGTCACTCCCACTCCCACTACTACTACTGCTGCTACTGCCACCTTCACCACGATGATGCTTTTTGTGTTTTTTGTCTTTCTTGACTTTGTGTTTGTGTTCCTTGTGTTCCTTGTGTTCCTCATACAATTTTCCACCCATGAATCCTAACGCAGCAGCACCTGCAGCGATACCAGCCGTCGCCTAGAAGATTTAGATATTTCAATTAAGACACATATAGTGATAAATATTTTTAAAATTGGATACATACCGCCCACGATGGACCTTCTGGTTTAGTTTTCGCCTCATGTTCACCGTATAGAGGAGTAGGTGCACCTCCGTATTTTGAAGCCGCTGATGCATCATAATGTGGAACAGCGGGTGCACCATATTGCGAAACCGCTGGTGCACCATATTGCGGAACAGCTGGTGCACCATATTGTGGGACTGGTGAAGCATTATATTGTTTATCGTAAGACGGGGCACCACCATAAACACTGGCATCAGAGAATCCACCAACGTTGCTGTTTGGATAAGCAGCAGTATAGCCAGGGGCTGTAGTTGGCGTAACTGGTGGTGGATTACCACCGCCATATGAAGGTGGAATCGCACCTCCCTGTGGTCCCAATCCTTGAAAAGCAGAGTTTTGTGGAAAAGGCGGTTGTGGGTTTGGTGTGGGTACTCCGTACCCGGTTTGTGGAGGAGATTGTGGGTATCCACCGTAAGCACCGCCCGGTGTTTGCGCAGGATAAGGTGTTTGAGCAGGATAAGGCATTTGTCCTGTTGTTGAGCCCTTTTTTGTTAAAACAAATAAATTGTTAGAAATTAAATTTCTTTTGTTTAATTTAATAAATTGAAAATAGCTTTACCTGAGGAGTAAATTTCATTACAACACGAACTTCACCAGCATGTTTTCCACTTTTACGTCTAAGTGAAACCCATTGATCAAAGAAACCAGATGCATACACTGGTCGCAAATCGATAATCGCCCCTCCTGATTTATAAATATACGGAAATTAAGTTTCCAATGCATACATCTAACTAAAGAATTATATTTTCCTTGTCTTACCTATTAAATCATCGGTTCCAATATCTTCGTCAAAAACTTCCATAAGCAATTCATTTCGACCTTCTACAATTTCGCTGTGCAAGTAGTTTGACATGAATTAGGTTAGAAAAACACGTTTTAACTCTTGAATTTCAATTTGTCCTACAGCTTATTACATACAATGAAAATGTCTCATTCCACATTGCATTTTTACCAGCATTTTGTTTCGTTTTGGTCCGTTTTTTATTATGTTTATTATCCACAGACAAAATCACGTAAGGATCCGCTTTGTCTGCAAGATATATGATAAAAAAACACGGACGAATTTTTATATAAGGATAAGGCAAAAAAATTTACGATGGTTTAAAAATGCAAATAAATATCGTAAATCTCACCAAAAAAATCGGTTTCCTTTAGATTCTTTGCTTCGACTATATTAAAAGTGTGTATGAATAAAAATTACCACAATTTCTATATAAAAAATTGAATAAGTTTTCAAAATTTACCAATAGTAACCGATAATTGTCCGTACGACATATTTTCTAACCTTCCAAGTTTTTATTTTCACAAACTATAGTCGCTTATTTATATACGTAGCGGTAGTTCAGAGTATCGTGTGACAGACAATAATTATATCGTTATTATTATCTTGCCAAAAAAATCGTGGCGTGTGTGGCAAAGCTATTTTTCATCATTGTCCAATTATAAACATTGATTCGGTAATGTCCCGGGTGACCGTGGACAAACTCTAGCCAATGCCAAGCAAAATTTTTTGGCTATCGCTATGGTCAAATTTATAACCAATCAGAATTCAAATTAATCAACAGACAGATAATTGTGCATCATTAAAACAGGATGCGTTCGATTATATTAAGAAAAAATGGCCATCTACTTTTCAAATGATTCACTATAATAGCAACGAAATTTTGGTGTCGTTATAGAGAGGTTATTTATTATACGTCATTAATTAAAACACATGTTGCACGGGATTTATCAAGACCAAAAGTCAAACCCAATCCATCATGCGTTGCCTTTTCTGGATCAAGGGGGTGACACAAAGAATCTAACCAATCGTACTATTATTACTGGCAGTAATATCCTCATTACGGAATTGGAAGTTAATACAGTAACAAAATATCAAGCATCTATCAAATATTTTAATAAGTTGACGCATCCACTATTTATTATAAATAGGTTCCAAACTTCCCTTTTCAAAACGAAAATGAAACTCTCAAAAAAAAAACCACTATAAACAGAACACATAACAGTACATATATAACAATATATTCTTAATTTGTTCAACCTTCTGATCCTTTTGAAGCTATATTAGATATCTGTCACAAAATCAGTTTAGACTCATTGATGCCAATTTCATGAAAATTAAAAGATAGGTTTGAAACTGATAGAAAATGAAGTGACAAAAAAATAACTGTTTTATTGTATGATGAAAATTAATTTCAATTATTTGTTGTTTATACAAATTGCACAATATACTAATATTAATAGAAAAACTTGCCAGCAACATAAAATTGATCTTACAAAAAATTTTTTATTTAGACATATCAAGAAATATAGGAGAAATGTGTTATTTAATATTGGATTTTTATTTTCTTTTTAATAATTTTTTCACTTTAATTTATAATATTTAACTATTTTTTTTGAAATTTGAATAGCAAAACATTATGCAAAACATTATACAAAACATAATAATTCTGGAATAGAGTAAATATTATTAATTGAATAAAAATTTTTGCTTTTTTATTTTTATTAATAATAATTTTACTTCAAATTCATATAGTATTCTTTTGATTTTTTTGATAATTATAATTTATTTTGAATAGTATTCATATAAAGTATAGTAATCTTGTAATAAACTAAATATTTTTCTTTTTTTTTACTAATAATTTTTTTTATATTTTATTTCAAATTCTTATTAATTATATAAATTAATATAATTATAATATTTTAAAATATAATAGACAAACTAATATTTTAATTCTTTATTTACTTTATTTTGTCAGTTATATTTTTTTTTAAAAAAAGATAATACTATAAATAAAATATTTTATTTTATAATTATATCTTATAATTAAATATATTTTTTATATAAGTAAATTTTCTATTTTTTTAAAAAAATAATATAATATATATATTAAAAAATAGAATTATTATATTCAATTAAATATTTTGTAAATTAATTTATAAAGTAATCTAATTATTATAATTTTAATTAAATAATAAAAAAAATAAATTTAAATAATAGATATTTATATATATAATAAATAATTATTTAATAAATAAAATTATATTTATTATTAAAAATAATCTAAATAAAATATTCTATTTGTAACAATTTTGATTGGGTTATCTTCCTTTAGATCTCTTTTAGTTTAGATCTTCACTTTGCACTATCTGTATAACAGATTAGTTTTGTATTACATTTTTAAGAAGATTATTTTCACTCTGGATATACAGATGATCATTATGTATTAAATACTTCTAGATTTAGCACATTGTTACTCAGATGATCA